TAGCAAAGGCTTGCCCCTTCACTGCTTTTCTAGGCTTGAAAGTAACTTCGAGACTCTGCATTTCTATGGCCCATTTGATCATTCGTCCGGAGGACTCCATGGTGGTAAGGGGCCGCTTGATCGGTTGGTCGGTATACACGACGACTGCATGTGCCAGAAAGTAGGGCTTCAATTTTTTAACAGCCATGAAGAGTGCAAGACCAAATTTCTCCACTAGGGGATACCTCAACTCGGCATTTTTCAGTACGTGACTGACAAAGTAGACCGGAAGTTGACAGCCGTCCCTTTCAGCAAGGAGCACCGCGCTTAACGCATGATCAGAGACGGCCAGGTACATGTAGAGATTTTCTTTGGGCAAAGGGCTGACCAGCCTCGGCAAGGAATGCAAGTGAACTTTTAATTTCTGGAAGGCGGCCTCAGCATCCGGCCCCCATTCAAACCTTGCCTTTTTCTTAATTGCCTGGAAAAAGTATAGGCATTTGTCGCCTGATCGGCTTAGGAATCTTCCCAAGGCCGCCAGACAACCTGTTAACTTCTGAACCTCTCGGACGGTACGAGGCGACTGCATGTCAATGACCGCCTGTACCTTCTCAGGGTTCGCCTCTATTCCTCTCTGGTTGATAAGGAATCCGAGAAATTTCCCAGACTCAACTCCAAATACACATTTCTTGGGATTGAGCATGACATGGTGCCGCCTGAGTGTGGCGAAAGTTTCTCGGAGGTCCGTCAAATGATCTTCCTGAAGTTTAGTCTTGACAATCATATCATCAATGTATGCCTCGACGTTTCTCCCAATCTGATCAAAGAACACTGTGTTTATCATTCGTTGGAAGGTAGCCGGGGCATTCTTAAGACCAAACGGCATGACCGTGTAACAGTATAATCCCTGATCAGTGACGAAGGCCGTCTTCTCCTGATCTTTCTTCCATAAAGGAATTTGATGAAAACCAGAATAGGCGTCCATAAAACTCATCAAGGCATGGCCGGCTGTTGAGTCGACCAGGTTATCAATTTTAGGCAGAGGGTAACTGTCTTTGGGGCACGCCTTGTTCAAGTCTGTGTAATCTACACACATTCGCCAGGTGCCATTCGGCTTTTTAACAAGCACCACATTTGCAACCCAATCTGGGAAGTAACATTGCCGAATGAACCCTGCATCAAGTAATTTTTTGACTTCGGCGGCTGCCGCCTGACCTCTTTCTTCACCATGGTTCCGTTTCTTTTGTCGTACCGGCTTCTTTTTCGGATCCACAGCGAGTTTGTGTACTGCCAGATCAGGACTAATGCCTGGCATTTCATGGACTTCAAATGCAAAGATGTCCTTGTATTCTTTCAACAGGTTGTGAAAGTCGTCACCAAGGTTTCTCAGAGCAGTCGTCCCTACTTTGACTGTTCGGTCAGGATGGGAGTCGTCTAATATCAGGTCCGCATGCTCACCAGCCGGCTGAGGGCGGAACTCATCCGGCCGGTCCTCTGCCAGTGATTGCTATTTTCTTGCTTTTCTTGCGGACTCAGTCTGGGACGCCTTTCTTTTTCTGTCGCCTGTTTCTTGAACAGGCGCACTCTCCTTGACATTGTCAAGGTCTGTTTTTTCTCCACTTGACCCAGTGGCCATAACAGTGGGCTTGACATCCGAGAGATAGCACTCTCGGGCCATCCTCTGATCTCCCCTTAGGGAGCCGACTGTTCCATTATCCCTTTCAAACTTAAGCAGCATAAGTGACGGGATTATAACAGCTTTGGAATTATTCAGGGTTGGTCGACCCAGAATCATGTTGTAGGCCGAGAGTTCCTCTACCACTAGGAACCGGACTACCATGTGTCGTCCTTCCCCTTTTTCGCCCAGGCGAATGGGTAGATCCACTCGTCCCAGTGGGTGGACGACTCCTCCTCCAAACCCTATTAAAGGGTGGGAGGCCGGATGCATGCAGTCCGTCTGATATTTCAGTTTTGACAGACATTTGCTGCTGATAAGATCTGAGGAGCTCCCGGTATCTATGAGGATTCGGCCAACTCTCTGGTTGGCCACTTTACATTCAATAACGAGAGGGTCGTCATGCGGCCCCCTTATTCCTCCTAGATCCTCTTCAGTGATGACAATCTCAGGAAATGTATATTTGGACGGTCGTTCTTGGTGAACGGAATTTACATCTAACCGCCTTATATTATCTTTGTTGCCCCTAATAGTGGGGCCGCCTCCTGAGAAGCCGCCTGCAATGGTGTAGACGACTGCATCATCTGTATCAGAACTGTCGGCCTGCTGATTCTTTTTGGCCGACTGCTTTTTTGAGGAAGTGTTCCCCGAAGATTTCTTGACATAAGTGTCAAGATCACCTTGATCAGCCAAGCGGTCTAGGTATCGCATGAGACTGATGCAGTCATTGGTGTGATGACCAATGTCATCATGATAAGCACAGATTTTGTCTTGGTTCCGGTTGCTCGCAGAACCCTTCATGGGGAGCGGCTTCTCAATTGAGAGCCGTCCCTTTATTTCTTTCAGGATAAACTGGTTATCCTTGTTAAACACATACTTTGGGGAGTATGGTTTGAATTCTTTTTTCTTTTTCTGGGCCGGCTGTTTAGAGGAATCAGCCGCCCAGACCTCTTTTCTTTTTTCATCTTTGTTGGACGACTGTTTCTGTCGTCCCTCTCTGTTGTCGAACCTCTTTCCGTCCGACTGTTTCATCGTACACAGATCAGTCGCCTGTATATAGGCTTCTGCTTCAATCAAGGCCTCTTGAAGAGTCGCCACCCTTTTTCGAACTAAATCAAATTTGAAGGTAGACCCGTCTTTGAGACCTCTAAAAAAGTCAGTATAAGCTACCTCATCCGGTAACCCTTGAATCTGTATTCTCATCAGGTTGAACCGCCTGATGTAGGAACGAAGCCCCTCCTTTTCACCCTGCTGAATTGTTCCCAAATCAAGGGTTGTTTTCTTCGCAGGGATGTTCATAGCGAAGTTGGAGGCAAATAAGTAAGCAAGCGTCCTGAAGCTGTTTACACAACCAGTCGGCAGGTTGCTGAACCATTGCTGTGCAATTCCCTTGAGAGTCGCTGGGAAACACTTGCACCAAGTGGGATCATCCAACCCTTGAAGGTACATCAGGTTGGTGAATGCCATCAGATGGTCTTCTGGGTTAGTAGTGCCGTCATAGGCGCCTACTAGAATATTTTTTACTTTGGCCGGCTGAGCGGCTTCAGTAATTTCCTTGGAGAAGGCCGTCGGCTGTTCACCAAGTCTAAGCAGCCGTAGCTGCCAGTCCATAGGTTGGACGTTTTTTGTTGCAGGTCCACCAAATGGAGGTGGCTGCATAAAATACTGTTGTTGCGGCACAAATGGTAAGTTTGGTACCGCTTGGGCACTATGAAAGTCGGACTGACGGGAGGTGCCGCCTGACTGACTCTCATGGTACGACTGAGTTGGCCTCATCGAGGCATTTCGCAAACTGTCCTGAAAATTTGAAGTAGAAGCCGACTCTGATAATCGGTCACTCTTCTTCTGCTCTAGCAGGTGCCGAGCATCTGTGAACGTTTGCTTTGACCCGTCCGCCTGAATATGACGAACCAGTTTCCTATTTCCCGTAGGATAACGGAGTTTTGTGAAATCAAGAGCAGACGGCTCCCGCTTCTTGAATTTAGGATGGGGAGTCGCCTCTCGCCCTTGAACTGACTTCCTCTTTAGTGAAGTGGAAGGTTTCTTGGCCGACTGCTCTTTGACTGAAGCAGGCGGTTTTTTGTTGATCAACTCTTGGATCTCTCCCTTGAAATCCCTCATGAAGGTCATGAGTTCGTTCCTTGTGATGGGAGCAGACCCATCAGTCGGCTGTTGCCGAGCAAGCGGTGCGCCTGCTGGCTCGCTTCCTGTTTGAAGATACTCCCGTTCCCTCATTTCGGTATGACGGGTACGTCGGGCCCTTAGGGTCCCGTCTGGAGCTGTATGAGTTTCAACTTCAAATTCACTTTCGGTATCATGGTCCGACTGAACTTGAGGGTCGTCTAGGGGACGCCTCTCTTCTGGAGTCGGTACAGACTTGGATGCCATCTCTGAAGTACTCTCCCCACAGACGGCGCCAAATGTTTCGGGGTTTTCTGATGTCCTGCGGGAGAGTTACAATTCCGAGACTGGAACCGGACGCCTGTACCTGCAAAATAACGGAGACTCCTGAGAGCTCCGCCTCCAACGGTCAAGTTAGTACCTGATTAAGGAGTAATCAATACAGAAATTAAAGTAATCAGATCTCTCTAGGTGAGAGTGCTTAGTGTTGGTAATCTGCGTTGTTAGCGAGATTAGCCGGTTGTTAATAAGTCTGTTCTTCTCTGCTTGATCTCTTAATTATTCGGTTTTTGATTAATGAGGATTAATCGAGTATTTATAGCCTTGGGAAGCGTGCAGCTCTCTAGGTTTAAGGTAAACCTAGGGCTGATCGGGCCTCTAGACTGAATTGGGCCTTAATGGCCGGTTGTCCCATTTGGCATGGGTGGACACGTGGCGTGTCTTAAGTGGTCCATGGAGGACGTATCTGTGATTGACACGTGGCAAGCTCCTGTTGGCCTTTGTGAAGGACACGTGGCGGAACCTGGTTGGTCCACTTGTCAGATGGTGATTGGTGGATAAAAATCCCCTAATCAATAATCACGAGGAAACAAAAATTCCAAAATTAATAAAAAACATATACATAACAATAACAATAAAAAAAAATTATATTACTCAAAAAAAAAAAAACACGACAAACAAAAAATAAAAAGAAAAAAAAAAATCGGAAACCCAGACTTCTGCCTGAAAAATCCGGAAGTCTCGGGGAACTTTCGAAAATTTCAGGCGGAAGTACCACATCCGCCTGAAATTTCCGGAAGTTCCCCCAGACTTCCGGAATTTTCAGGCGGAAGTCTCCACGAATTTTTTTTTTTTTCAAATTAAAAAAAAAATAAACCAGACCCATACCTGCTCGCCGCCACTGACGCCGCCCCCACGACCACCGTATGTCAGCCTTATGCGTCACCTGTCCGCCATAGCCGGATTCAATCTTGAATGGGTGGTGTTCGTTGGTGTTTGGGTGATTTTCAGATGTTGGGGTTTTTTTTTTAAAAAAAATTTCTGATTTTTTTTTTTTTAATTTCTGACTTTTTTTTTAGAATGAGAAAATTTTAGAGAGAGAGAATGTTGGTAGTGAAATGACTCGTAAGTTAGTTTCGCGAGTATTTATATACGAGGGGTAAATTAGTAAATTTAAGTAAAAAATGCGAGCGTCGCTATGTAATTTACGAACGACGTTTAAGGACACCCGATAATTATGGAGTATGTATAGTCAAATTCTCGTAATTATAGCCTTCCAAGATTCTAGGATATTAGTTCATAGTTTAGTGGCTAGAATCTTGGATGTACAACATATTCACGCATCAAGCAAATCAAGAATTCACTTTCATTTTGCTTTTGAAGAATCTCATTCAGTCTCTCTCCTCACTCTTCTTCTTCCATCTTTTCCACTCTGCACTCTCATCTCCTTCTCCATATTTTGGGAGCTAATAATAAAGCTGGCTGCACGAGCTGTTCTTCAAGAGCAACCAAGAGGTAATCTAGTGTTCATCTTTGTTTTCGGACATGAGAATTTTTCATTTCTGGTTTTTAATTTCTCTGTTTTTTGTATGTATGATTTTTTTATAGAATTTTTAATATCTCAATTTGATTTAAATTTATATGCTATAAGTTTAAATCTAAAAAATTGATTTCTTTTCTTTTAATTTCTCTGTTTTCCCTCCTCAAATTTCACACTCAATTTTCGTAATTTAATCTTAACGGTTCAACGCTCCCCCTCTTTTCAATTCATCTTCCATCTTCTGCCCATTGAATCAATTGAAACAGGGGAGGAGAGAGAAAATCAAACAATGTCAAAATCATCCCATGTATTCATTGGATCAATTGATCAAGGAACAACAAGCACATCTATGATGGATCTACAACAGCAATTGGATCTCATCAGATTGAATTCACCTAGTTTTAATTTTGGTTGAGATGTTATTCTTGTTTTGGATTAATTTAATTATTATATTTTGTAGTGATATATTGCGATTTTAATTCTGGAATAAGTATTATTAATTTTCTTAGTTTAATCTGGCCCAATTAAAGCAAGCTTTATAAATTGACTTTTTTTTTTGGGTTTAGTTTAGTGGGTTGTGTATAAGCTATTGGAATCAAGAAGAGGCCGGGTGTGTTTATGTTAGTCTTTGTGTGCTCTTATTGTAGATTAGTTAGTTAATTTGTTTTGAACTTGGTTTAGCAATTACAAAAATAGCTAATTAAGTGTGTGTGCGGTGTTATGTAAGTAGCTGTGTGTGCGGTGTTATGTAAGTAGCTGTGGGTTGCTATTGTAATTTAGTTAGGTAATTTCAAGGGATATTAGTTAGTTTATTTGATCTGAAATTTGTGTGGTGCTATTGTAACTTAGTGAATTTGAACTGGAACTTGTTAGTTTATTTGATCTGAAATTTGTTTAGCACCTTTTACAAAAGTTTGGTTTGATGTGAAATTGGCTTAGCAACTATAAAAATTGTCTGTGAAGGTAATTCGGATTATCTTTATTGGGGAATTTGTCAAATAGTTATGTTGCTTAATGTAATTGACAATTTTTGAGGCTGCTATTAAGGCTTCATCGGTTTTTTGGATCTAAATAATTTAGGTAACATGTAATTCCAATTCATTAAATCAAATTGAATAAAGATGATTAGTAACTTGGTGTAGGCATCACTCTTCTTTTTTGGCTCAAAATATCAGCAATTCTTAGACTGTACGTTACTTCTGAATAGGCTGTATAGAATAGGGTATGGGTTATCAGGTATTATTGGTGTATATAGATTGTTTTCATATCTATTCTACTGTTTGATATACATACTGTAATTAAAAAAAAAAGGTACAAAAAGGTTGCACTTGTACTTTCGCTTACTTGTGTTGTATTGTTTGTAGAGCTGTGACTTGGGTCTGTTGTACTTCCATTAGTCTTGCTTTTACTTTATATTTATTGTTTTGGTAGAATATATAGATTACATATATATTATATTACATACATACAATTGAGTAAGCCCAATTAGAGTATAAAAGTGGGAAGTCTTGACATATGTACATGCAGAGAGAACAAATGGATTGTTAATTTAGTGAGGAATTCAGCGTGTTGATGAAATTTTGCGTAAGGTTAGTTGTATGTTGCATTTCTTCATGTGTTTTTTTGGGGTTTTGTGTAGTTAATTTAGTGTTCTTATTAAATTTGCTCTTGAAATTGAAGGTTTTTACAAGTTGAGTTTGATTTGGAGTAAGGAGCTGCTTCAGTTGATATTCAAGTGGTTGTTTTGTGTTTGCTTTAGATTGTGCTATTACGGTGGGTAGTTCCTGTTGTTATATGCTTTGTGATAATGAACTTTGGTTATTGTCTGCTTATAGATAAGGTCAATTATTGATATCAGATGTGTGTGCTATTTATTTTAGGCTAATGATTGTTGATATGAGCTATTATGTTGTATATATGTTGATTCAAGATAATATTAATTCACGTAGTTTAAGTGTGATGCTTTTTGGGTTTACCTCTTTTGAGGAGGAACATGTTTATTTGAAAAGGAGTTTTCTAGACTTGCTAAGATAAATTATGGTACTGAATGGTGAATAATTTTCTTACATTAGAAACTGTCTGCATGGCTTTTGTTATAGAATTTTCAATATTTTCCTTGTATTTCTTGCTGCTACTGCTTTCTTGTGCATTTATTTTGTCACGTGTATGTGACCACTATGGTAGAGGAATTGGTTAAAAAAAAAAACAAAAAAAAAAAAACCTTATGGCTGATTTACATCAGAATTTTGAGATACTTGATCAAAGAACAGAACACCTAGCTTATCAGACCAAGGCTAGATTCGATGCTTTCTCTAACTAATAATTGACAACACAAGAAAATGAAAAAGGATAGTTATGATGAGTTCCAGTGGTGATGAGGGTGAATCAAAGTGCTCAAAATCGATTGGTAGGGGTATCAAGCTCAATGATTTAACTGGCCTTGGAAGACCAGAAGACTTTCTTGAGGGAAGAGGTAAGTAAGAGATGAAGATGAACAATGCACTTTTAATTTTTTCCCCTCTCTGGTCTTTTGATTGCCTAAACACAAGAACATGAACCTTGGAACCTGAAGAAAACAGGATCAGAAAGCTTTTGAAGAGATGAAGGTGAATGATGAAAGAGCAAGAGGGTTAGCATACCCTTAGGCTTTTTGTACTTCATCTCTTGCTCTTTGCTCATTTATTGTTATTCTGTAATTTTTCATAATTTCTATCTACCAAAGCTGTAATTTGAATAGGATAGACTTGCTCAATTATATTAGGGTCATGGGAAGTGATCCTCCAGAGTTTTAGACTTTTAGTCTGTCAGCTTTAAATCTTAAAAAATCGATATAAAAAAAAACGTAATTTGTTGGTTACAATTTGCCCCTTCTAATATGTCTAATGTTGTTAATGCTCATAGCAACAATTGAATTACCAAACTCTAATCACGATTAATTATTACGAAGTATGTAACAATGTTACTCTGTAATTGAAAAATACTTTTTTGAAATTTGTAGATTAGTGAGTCGTGGGATTAAAAACCGTTTTGTCATTCATTCAGTATATACACGTCTACATTAGTACCTTTTGAAATATATATTTAGGTAGCCAACTAGATAAGAAATTAGTGAAATGAATGGTATCCTTCGAACAAGTGTATTATTCCGATAGAGGGTTTAGAATTAAGTAGGAAAGCTAATTATTTAGTGAGGTCAAGTGATCAGAATGCCTAGCTGGAGGTCGCTTCTGATCAGTATTATTAATGTATAATTAATATTACAGCTTAATCTTGACTGAACCTTCTGGATCACACCTAATCGTGTAACCAAACTGAAGCGACGAATTACTCCGAAGGATTTAATAAGTCGATAGGGATTTTATGAACTAAGACGTTGGATTCCGAGCTTAGAGCGTCGAAGTCGAGCGTTGAAAGTCTAGTCGAATTTAGGAATCGACGAGACGGAAAATTCAATCAAATGACACAACGTACTAGGCTAGCACAAGGCCTTGTCGCACCACTCTGGTGGAGGCAAAGCCAAACCGCAACCTAAGCTCTCGCAAAGGCTCAACATGGTGCTGGCCAGGGCATGCGGGGCTGGGCGTGCTGTCGCAGCACAAGCCCTCGCATAGGCTGAGCAGCTAGCTGGCCGAGGCATGCGAGGCTGTGCGTGCTAGCCAAGCTAGCATGCGTGCAAGCAGCGCTAGCTAGCTAAGCCTCGCTAGCTTCTAGCCGCAAGGCCAGCCCGTAAGCAAGCAGTTCCCAACAGCAAGCAAGCGGGCCTGCTATGCTTGTTGGCCTTGCCGAGAGCACAAGGGCACTACAAGGCACCCTTGTTGTCCAAGGCAAAGGGCAGCCATGTGGCGCGTGCTTAGTGGGGAGAGCTTTTGCTTGGGGAACAAGGGGGCATGTGGTCCTCCCTTGTGGTCCTCACCTAACCACTTGCTCACCTTGTGCCACTTGTCATTTGATGATTGCCTTTCCATTTTAATTTAATTTGGAATTAAATTAATTCTTTCTTTTGGCATTTTACTAACTATCACACATTGAAAGATGATGGGAATTCTTGTGAACATTTCCCTATAAATACCAATCACTTGGTATTGGCAACTTCACTTGAGTTGGTGAACTCTAAGGGATCACCAAAAGCGAGAAAACCTTTATTCATAAACTCTAAGTTATTTTAGTCTAGCCCCGTCTAAGCTACGGGGTAAGGGCCGGCTACGGTTCGGTAGCGAGGGTGTGAGCCGTAGGAGGTTTTCGCACTTGTGAAACTTGAAGCTTTCAAGTCCGAGCTCATCGGTTGAGCAAAGCACGCTTCTAGGGTGAGTATTCTTTCTCTCTCTTCTCTTTTGTTTGTGTTTATTTGCATGCTTTTGTTTATGTTGTAATTATTATGCATGCAATCCCGTTATCGGGTTTTGTTTCCGCGCGGTGTTGGACACCTCAAAACCCAACAACGGTATAAGAGCCTCTTGAATTTAATTTTTACAACTAAAAATTAATTAAGGTGATTTAAATGGATTTAAATTTCTGGTTTTGCTTCCTAATTAGATTAGGAGGTCGTTTTTAATTAGATTAAAAACATATTTATGCTATTTTTAGCTTATGAACTCTTATTTTGACTCAAAATTAGTGAATTTTGGTTGGAATCGACATTCTAAATCATTCTTTACCCACAAAGTAATTAACAATGACCTTCCATAAGCCAAAATCCACCCAGAAAGTGATTTTTCGAGGGGCTTTTCGTTTTTGACGAAAATTTTTAAATCTTGATTAATTATGGCATGCAATTATTGGATTATGTGTTTGATTATACCATTAATCTTCTGCAATTTTAACCCTTATTAAGTATGTTCATGAAGTCATAATTGGTGCTTAATTTGGTTAGCTCTTATTTTCACATAAACTTGCAATTTCACATTTTTGCAAATTAATTGCTTGAAGTGTGAATGTTTATGGTGAATATGTATTTTTGAAGCCACTAAATGTTAAAGGTTCAATCTTTAATCGTTTATTTGGTTGGATTTTAACTTGCTAAAATCCATAATGAGCTAATTTTTGGTTTTAATTATTTTTGAGTTGATTAAAATCCTAAATGTTCATACTCGTGCTTGAAATATTATTCTTTTTCATATTGGAAGATTACAATATTGAAATGTGCATAAGTAAGTGTTGGATAAATTTTTCATTGGATGATTATTTATTTTTCCAACCTTTTTTGTCAAATCTCAATTGTTAATTTATGTTAAATTAATTGTGAGAATAGCATTCAATTTTGTTGCATCAAGTTGAGCCAAAAATAATTTAAAGAATGATTCTTGAATTAAATTTGGTTTTGCACTAAAATTGAATTTAATTAAGTTGGACTTATTTTATTTTCAATATTGCTCAATATTATTTCTAAAATCAATTTAGAATTAATTTTTTATGTCACACGAAAAATTCGGAATAAAATCTTGAAGCACAACAAGCACAAAATCAAAGCCGAAGCTTCGAGTGCCTAGCTCGGCCAGCAGGGCTTCTGACGACGGCCCATATGTTGCTGCCGAGCCAAAGCATGCGCGAGTGTGTGCGAGTGTGTGCAAGGGAGCGTGCGTGTGGTGCATGGAGTGGGACTGCTAGGCAGTGCCTAGCTCGCATAGTAGCGCTTGTGGGGCCAGCACAAGCATGCACACTGGCACGTTGCTAGTGCCAGCGAGACGCAAGCGCGTTGAGCATGCTGCGACGTTGCCAGTGCTAGCACGCTGTTGTATGAGCAGCAATCATGCACGACAGCAAGGCTTGGGTGCCTAGCAAGCCTAGCCTCAAGGCTTGGGTTCCTAGCAAGCCTAGCCTCAAGGCTTGGATGCTAGGCACTCGACCATTGAGGGGCTATTTTTGCGGTTTTGCGGTTTTTCCCGGCATTTGCAAAATTAATTGGCAAAATTTTGGGTTAACCGACTTAATTAATTTTAATTGAATTAATTTTAATTAAGTTGGATGTGGAATTTAGTGGGAGCTTCATTAATCATTTGAGCTATTATTATTGTGTTAATTCACATAATCGGATAACAACTTTGACTAGTTTTAATTAGGCGTGTTAATTGGATTAACCACCTAAGTTAGTTACTAGTTTGCGCTCGTTTTGCATTGTTACTTGATTTATTTTGTAAAATGTATGGGCCATTCACTTTAGTGAATGGATGAATGGAATAGATATTCTAATGCAGGTTTTACAAAATGGCAACTAGTGGGGCCCGACTAGGATAGTAAATACGGACTACGTTCCATTATATTTTTTTTGTAAATCTAAATATGGACTACGTGTCGTTGAGTATTTTTTTCCTTAATATTCATATTAGTCCTAGTCTTATTAGTAGTTGCATAATTGGCGGAGATGTCTCGAAAACGGTGTTTCTAAGAAGACGAAGCCAAGAAGTTGCAATGAAGGCCCTTGAAGATAGAAGATTCAAGTTTCAAGGGGTCATGCTAGTTGCCAAATGCATCTTTATTTATGCTATATATATTTATGCTTATGCTCATATATAATTGTGATGTTAGATGCATGTTTAAGATTTCGAATGTTGAATGATTAGTTTAGTCACTTAAATAAACCAACATAGAAACCCTAAGTCCCAAAGAATATTGAGTTAAATATGCCATTCCAAAATGACACTTACAGAACTAATGAGAATAGTAATGGGCTATGCCAAAGCAAGAGATTACTACTTTCCTAGGGAATTAAGGTATGTTGGTGGGCTGCTAAAGCAAGGCATCATATACACGTTAGTTTTGGTTAAACTCAACGATATAAGTAAGGAGTCCTTAGATGTCGTGGCAAAGGAGATAATCGTCAAGAAAGCATTAGATGCGACCTTTTATCGAACCAAGAATAGCTTAGAGCTATTAGCAATTAGATTGCTTACCTTAAAATATTAAGTGTTAAGACAAGCCAAAGCATGCTTAATCACTTATTAATTTTTGGGATCTTGAAATCATTTATTCTCGCCTAATTGGGACAAATTTATAAATGTGTGAATAGAACGTTAATAAGATAGTTGAAATTGCTAGTTTGCACGTATTTTAATGCTTATTATTTTATCTTGATAAATGGTTATACTATGCACTTATATTTGTAGAATTCTAAATCAAATTATAATTTTTCCAACGATTGGTAAAAGGAAATCTTTTGAGAATGGTTCTCAAGGAAGGAAGAGACAATTCTAAAATACAACTTCTCATAATGACTTTTATGGCTAAGTTTGAAAGGACAGTTGGACATCATGTATTTAAAATACTAGGTAGTTTTAATAAACATGAAGTATTGAGTTGAAAACTCAATTAGTCAAAGAATGACAACTAACATATCTTTTCTCTTTATACACTAATGAGTAGGACTCATTGATGTAGTACGAATCAAAGGAAAAGATGGAACTTTGTTTTACGGCGCATTAGATGTTTAATTATTCCTAACAAAGTATAAAGGTCAAAACACTTAAATAAAAGGTTCTTAAGGTTATGAGACGATGTATGATTAGAAATATAGGAAACAAGGAGCAAAGAAAAGGAATTTGAGATTCCAATTCTACCTAAGAGTTCATGTTATCGTAGTTAAACTTAGCAACTTATCTTAACAAGTATTAGATACTGCTTGAGAGTTCGACTTTCGAAGTGACCTCAAAACAAATGAAGTTAAGCTATGTTATTGACTTACAAGCTTGGAATGAAGCAAGTGGTGCTACATCAGTTGTAAGGTCATCTGCTTTGTTTATGAACTTTTAAAGCTAAAGGCTGGAATAAATAATGGTTATTGTGTTCCATAATCTGCAAAAGATCCGTTTACACATGGAAAGACTCACATTCAAAGTAAAAGAGCAATAGTTGTTGGTTTTATTTGAATGGCATGGTTGTTTAAGCCATGGTCAAAGATACTTGGTTATAAACAAACATTTCTCTAACATGAAAACTCACAAGGTTCAAGTCATAGACATGATCTGTGTTCCAAACATCTTTAGCAATGTCACATTGACAAGAACGTACCTAAGGCTCTATTAGATAGACTCTTGGAAGTTGATCAATTCAGAATCGTTCTAAGGCAAGAAAGTCTTACTTGTTGAAATCGACAAAGGAAAGAGCTATTGTGCTTGGTATAAACCATTGACTCCGAAAGCTTAAGAGAATTCCATTACTTCAATGTTTTCACAAGAATCTGAAAGAATATGGCTGTATTCATCAAATGTGAACAAACTGGATCTTGAATAGCTTAAAAGTTCAATGAATTATTGATTCGACTAGGCAAGATATCAAAACGTCTAGAATAGATTGAGCGATGTTTTCTTGAGCCAAGAGTGATCATATCAAGGTTATGAAATTGGATTTTCATAATTAGCTCCACATATAATATAATATGTCTTGACAGAGACCTCAATGCCATTTGGAAATGACTCGAATGATGATCACTAGTAGAAAAATGATATAGGCACCGCAAAATGCGCACTAGTTTTTAAAAACCGGTGCGAAAAAAAATAGGCGGGATTGAGGGGAAGACTTTTCGCACCGATTCTAAACAATCCGGTGCAAAAAATGAGTTAATCGTACCGGTTTGAACAACGAAAGCTATTGTAAAAAAAAAACCCGGCCATTTTTATCTTCTTTCTTACTCTTTCTTTCTATTTCCTCAGTCTCTCCTCCTCTCAACAATGGAAACCCTAAATTCCTTCTCTCTTTTTCGATCTCCTTCTCTCTCCTTGGATCTCCTTCTCTCTCCTTCTCTTTCCTTAAAATGAAAAAAAAACCCTAAAACTCCTTTGCTTTGCAATCAGCCATTGTCACTCTTATTCCCCAAAGAGAGCCTATCATCTTCTTCTAGTCCACCATAGAAGCGTGCACTCTACATTCATCATTGACGTTTCCTCGCGTCCTCCTCCTTAGCCAGCTCGATTCTTCTACAATCGATTATTGAACATTATTGGTTATAATTGAAGCTGATGATGCTACGTAAGATGTTTCTCTTTGTAATCATCAAAATCAATTTAGAAGTTTTTTCAGTTTGAATGTTAGAAATGATGATTGTTTGAGTTGATTTAAATTTATTTTTTCAAATTTATGTAGTTTTGAGTTGATTTAAGTTTCTGGGTAATAGTTTTTTGGATAGTTTGTGCTGAATTTTTGCGGATTCCGAGATAATTTTTTTTTCTCTCGATCTGAAGTTTTCGATTTTATTCTAATTATCGATTTTCGTTTTAATCCTCAATCATTTTAGCCCTTTAATCGTTTTCATGTTTAGTTTTGTTTTTAATTTTCAATTATATTAGATCTAATTTTTCTTATTTTCATTTGAAAATTAATCTAAAGTTTTAGTTTGGTGCGATTTGTTTTGATTTTGTGCGTTGATGGTGTGGTTGTGGGTGTTTGGTGCGATTGCTCTGATTTTGTGCGCCAATGGTGGAAGGCTGGAAGCGTTGCTGTAATGGTGGCAGGTTTTAATTTCTTCATTTTTTATATTTAGTTTGGTTAATTGGATGGTTAGAAGTTTAGAACATATATGAGTGACAAAATATTGGTAAGGCATTGTGTCAATATATTGTGATTCATTGGCAGTAATCATATGTTATTATGTTCATTTTTTTTTCGTGAGTTGGATGCCCAATAATATCAGAATTTGCTACATGTCTGCTGTTGCACACTTAAATTTAAAATATTAACTCATCTGCAAAGTTGCTTTAGTTTTTAAGTACTTTTCTTTTTCAAATGGCCTATGTGCTTATGCAATTTCGTTAAGTTTCTTGAGTAGTCTTGTTGATTACGGTAAGCCATTTACATATCATATATGTTGGGTTAATCAGAGGTTTCTTTCTCTTTTGGGTGTGGGTGCATTTTGCTTCTGTTTTGACCCTTCAAATATTATTGAGGTCTATGTCTCGTTGTTTCTAATCTTAGCTTATAACCTTTTGAGCTTAATTATAATCATCGGTCTATACCGGAAGGAATTCTGATTTGCGCTACTTTTCATTATAGGAGAGGAAATGGTGTTCGTGGTTGTATGAGCTGTGCTGGAGGAACCACGCATGGGCTTTAACATTGAAGGTTTTCTTCTTCTTAAATCAGATTTTACTGAAACGTTTTGAACTTGGTTGTACGTTTCTTGTCTTATGAAGGGTTCTATTTGTTAGTGAAGGTTTCTATGCATATTATTGTATTTATAATGATAAATTATATAGAGCATCATACTTGCCTTGTTGTTTCTAGTCTTTATATATGAACCTTGATCTGTGTCAGATGGTTGAATTTGGGGTAGAAAAAAAACTATTTTTTTGATATGTAGCATTAGTTTCGGCTCTTATTTTTTTGGTAATCTATGCTAGTCTTGAAACAATCGACCAAATTGGAGTTTGATTGAATAGACATTTAAAAGATGAATACTCGAAATCAACTGTGTCATCATTGTTGTAGCTATCATCTATGAACGGAAATATGCAACAGAGAAGACTTTACACTCAATTTTTTGTTTTGACAGAGTGATTCGGATGGTAAAAGGTGAAAGGAATGGTGTCCTTCCAACAAGTGTATTATTCCGATAAAGGGTTAAGAATTATTGGATAGCTAATTTTTCAGTAAGGTCAAGTGATCGGAATGCCTAGGTGGAGGTCGCTTCCTATCAGTAATATTAATGTACAATTAATATTACAGCTTAATCTTGACTGAACCCTTCGGGTCGAACCCAATCGAAGCCTAGAGCGTCGAGACCGAGCGTCGCCAGTCGAGTCGACTTTAGAATTCGACGAGACGCGAAATCAATCAAGTTACAAGTTTGAGTTAGGCCATAGCCTCGCATTGGCCTAGCCATGCGAGGGCTAGGCTATCTCGAGCTAGCATGTGCATCGCAATGCTAGTCGCAAGTTTAGCATGCTAGGCGTGCTAGGCCCATGCATGCTAGCTAGCCACTGCAAGCATCGCAGCCTTGCGTGTGTGCTAGCATGCCATGCGCCCAGCCATCGCAAGGCTAGGCCTTGCTAGCATGCTAGGCGCCGGCGCACAGCTAGCCCAGCAAGCATCGCAAGGTTAGGCCTTGCTAGCATGCTAGGCGCTGGCTGCCTCGCCAGGAGCATCGCACAGCACCATGCGCCAGCCGGAAGCGTGCTGGGCTGTGCGTGTGTGTGTGTGTGCCTAGCACAGCATCGCACAACACCATGCGCCAGCCAGCAGCGTGCTGGGTTGTGCGTGTGTGTGCGTGTGCCTCGCATAACATCGCACAACACCACGCACCAGCCAGCAGCGTGCTGTGCTGTGCGTGTGGTGCGTGTGCTTCGCATAGCAGCGCCCAGCAAGCAGCTCGCATGCCTCGCCCAGCAAGCAGATCGCATGCCTCGCCTAGCAGCAGCGCCCAGCATGCTTGGCTCGCTAGCAGCACGCATGCAGTAACTGGCTGCGGCTGGCTGTGCGAGTGTGCTGGCTGGCTGGCCAGGCTGCCCAGCCTTGGTGCTAGGCGCTAGCTGGCAGCCTTGGCAGCCAAGGCAGGCTTCCAGCCAGCCACTTGGCAAGGAGGACTGGTTTTGCTAGTGGGGACCAAAGATTGGTTATTGCCTTGGGGAGCAAGGTGGGTTGGTCCCCTCCCTTGGTGGTCCTCACCTTCTCCCTCCCTTCCTCTTGCCACTTGTAACTTGGTGATTGAATTGCAATTTTATTTTTGTTTTAATTAAAATAAAATGGGAAAATTGCTAATCTCCCACATTGATTGAGAGTGGGAATTCAAGGTCCATTTCCCTATAAATACCAAGGTTTTAGGATTTGGGAAGAACACTTTAGTGGAACTAAAAAGGCATCTCCTTAGAAAAGTGAGAAAACCTTAAGTTCGTAAAACTCTAGTTTTTATGGTCGGGTCCCGACTAATTTTCGGGACTTGGATCGTTCTGGTCGGGTTCGTGGGTACGAGCCGTCGGAGACCTTCGCATTTGCAGGGTTTAAGTAAGAGCTCGGGATTCAAGCGAAGCACGCGCCAAGGGTAAGAATGTCTTTTCTTCTCTCTCTTAATTGTTGTTTAATTAGTGATTGCATGCTTAGTCGCTTTAAATAGTGTACGGGTCTTGGGTGGGTTTGCCTTCCGCGTAGAGTCGGACTATTTGAAACCCAACAGCGGTAGCGTACTCGTATTTTTTTTAATTTTGGCTGATGAACCCAGATTTTGACTTAAAAATAGTGATTTTTGGGTGGAAACGATGTTCTAAATCGTTTTTGATCCAGAAGCCAAAATCCACCCATAAATATGTTTTTCGAGGGGTTTTTCGTTTTTGACGAAATTTTTTAAATCTTTTAACCTTGATTAATTATTGCATGTTGATGGTAGATTAAATGTATGGTTGCATCCCTAATCTACTGCAATTATAAACCTCATTAAGCATGTTTATGAAGTCACAATTGGTGCTTAATTTGGTGTGTTCACTTTTCACATAAACTTGAATTTTTCACATTATTGCAAATAAATTGCTTTAAGTGTGAATGTTTATGGTGAACTTGCAATTTTGAAGCCCCTAAAATTTCAAAGATTCAATCTTTAATTGTTTATTTGGTTGGAACTTTGATTGCTAAATTCCATGTTGAACTAATTTTTGGATTTAATCATTTTGTGTTGATTAAAGTCCTTAAAGTTCAAAACTTGTGATTGAATTTTGATTAATCTTCATATTGGAAGATGTAATTTTTTTCAATTTTACACAAGTTATTGTTGGAAAATTTTTCATTGGATGAAATGGTTTATTTTTCCAACTCTCTATTTTGTCAAAGCTCATTATTAATTTGCATTTTTGTTAAATTAATTATGGGTGTAGCCCTTCAATTTTAAAGCATCAAGAAAGACCTAAATTGTTTCAAAGGTAATTTTGTATGATTTAGGCTTGTGCACCATTAAAATTGAATTTAATTAAGTTGGACTTGTTTTATTTTCATTTTGCCCTAAATTGATTCTAAAAAAATAAATTTAGAGTTGATTTTATGTCACACGTACAACGGGACTAAAATCTTGAGAAAAGGCACGCAAAATGAGGCAACAACACCCAAGCGCCACCAAGGCTAGCCGGGCTGCCCACGCAGCCCACATGTGGCTGCCTTAGCTGCGCACAAGGGTGATGTGCCTTGAGGTGCTGCTGCTGTGTGGCGAGGCTTGTTGCCCGTTGATGCTTGATGCGTGGCCAAGGCTGCTGGAGGATGCTTGGGCGTGCTGCTGGGCAGCAAGCCCCAGCCAGCCAGCCACTCGCTGCCAGCGCCAACGAGCATGCTAGCATGCGTAGCGTGCTGCTGGTGCTAGCTAGCGTGGTATGCTACGCTGGGCGTCATGCTTGCACCCAGCATAATCAGGCGCAACACCAATGGCTGCATAGCAGCCATGGTGCGCAACCAAAGAGTTTTAGGGGTGGAACATTTAATTTTGACAAAATTTGGGTTAACCGGCTTAATTAATTGGATTAATTAAGTTGGATGCAGAATTTAGTGGGAGCTTCGTTAATTTCATTTTATAATTGCGTCTTAATCACATAAAATGTTTAACAACTTTGACTAGTTTTAATTAGGCGCGTTAATCGGATTAACCACCAAGTTAGTTACTAGTTTACGCGTGTTGTGCATTGTTACTTGTTTTTCGTTGTAAAATGCATGGGCCATTCACATATAGTGAATGGATGAATGGAAGATACATTGTTTCAAAGGTTTCGTGAAATGGCAACTAGTGGGGCCCGATTAGGATAGTAAATATGGACTGCGATCCGTTATGTATTTTTGTAAATCTAAATAAGGTCTGCGTATCGTTGCGTATTTTTGTACCTTAATATTTAGATTAATCCTAGTCGTAGCAGCTAGTAATTTTATTTTGGCAGAGATGTCTCAAGACGGCGTTTCTATGAAGACGAGCCAAGATGAAGACCCTTGAAGATTTGAAGATTTCAAGGGGTCATGGTAGTTGCCAAATACATCTTATTTCATGTTTGCTGTATATAATTGCTCTTATATATATGTGAATGATATGTTAGGTGCATGTTTAGGTTTTCAAATGTTGCGATGATTAATTGAGTTCACTTAAATCAACCAACATAGAAACCCTAGGTCCCTAAAATATTGAGCTGAAATATGCCATTCCAAGAACAACACTTACCGAACTAATGCGCGTATGTGATGGGCTATGCGAAAGAGAGGCATCACTACTTCCCTAGGAATGTAAGGTATACTAGGTATACAAGTTGTCTTGGTTAAGCTCAATGATATCGGTATGAAGTCTTTAGATGTCGTGGCAATGGAGATAAAATGTCAAGGAGGAATTAGATGTGATGTTTTATCGAACCAAGAGTAGCTCGGAGCTATTAGCAATTGGATTGCTTACCCTAAAATATTAAGTGTTAAGACAAGCCAAAGCATGCTTAATCACTTTTTGATTTTTGGGATCTTGGAATCATTTTATTCTCGCCTAAAAGGGACTAATGTTAATGCGTGGATAAAATGCTCAATAAGTTGAAAATTTGCATGAACGCTTTAAATTTCAAACTTATTGGTTTATGAATGGTTTTTCATTTCAAATTCTTTCAATTGTAGAAACATGTCTGCAAGTAACTCATACAACCAGTTTTCATTACGCTCAATTCTCGACAAGGAAAAGTTGAGTGGGCTAAATTTTCTTAATTTGCATAGGAATTTGCGTATTGTTCTCATGCAAGAACAAAAGGAATACGTCCTTGATGAGGAAATGCTCGACACTCCCAATGAGGAGGTCGCCCAGGCTGCCCTTAACCAATGGCAAAGTGCCAATCGGGATGTCAAGTGCATCATGTTGGCCATAATTTCTCCGGACCTTCAAAAGACTTTCTTTGAAAAGGAGACGACTTTTGAGATCATTTCTGAATATGTTTCAAGAGGAAGCCCAAACTGAAAGGTTCAAAACCCACAGGAGATCCTTGAGGGCAAGCTCAAGAAAGGAGAGCTAGTCAGCCCGCATGTTCTTAAAATGATTGGATTATTTGAGAACATGGAAAGGCTCAATGCTGGGTATTCGACCGAGATGGCAATTGACATCATTCTCCACTTGCTACACAAAGGCTATGATTACGTTCAAGATGAACTACAATATGCACAACATGGAGAAAACTCTCACCGAGCTTCATGGTATGTTGAAGCAGGCCGAGCAAATCCTCAAAGATGAGGGAAATCATGACATGGTCATGGTGAGAAAGGGAAAGCCATTCAAGCACTCAGGCAATAAGATAATCTTTAAAGGGAAAAAGAAGAAGAATTTTCTGCCTAAGTCAAGTGCTGCTAAGAGTGGCAAGGACAAGAAGGTAGCCTCTTCTAAATCCTATTCCGAAT